TTATTCTCCTGACCTCATGTTTAATTCAGAGGTGATCCTGTAAGGAGAAATTAGATGTCAGCCACTCTCATGGGTTATAAGGTTAAACATAGGTTTTGCAGGCTGCAAATATTTCTGCCATCCTTCTTCTACCCATTTCTTTTATCTGAGGAAACTTTTTACTTCCTCTGGAGAATTTTCTTTCAAGTCCGGCACTATGTGGTCACTGAGCTGATTATTGTTGTTGCTTTATAGGTTGCGAGATCATCCCAGATGTTAATGTCAACAAAGAGAAATTTAACTTCAAAGTTAAGCTCCAAGAATCAGAGGATATTGAAATCTGCTGCTCTTGTGTAAGTAAAAAGTTTATCTCTTTTGAGGAATATCTCCTTAGCTCTCTTCAAAGTTACCTTTTTTCTAATGGTTGAATACCTTTATTTGTTTTTTGATCTTAGGAATCTCAGTATTCTAAATGGATGGCAGCCTGTCGCCTGGCATCCAAGGGGAAGACTATGGCTGATTCTGGATATGATGCAGAGGTCTCTGGTATCCAGGCCTTCCTCAGCATGCAGCATGATAAGGGGGATGCCACGCCCCTTAGTCCTGGACAAGTGAGTTGATGCTCTATCTTAAGTATGTTTTGACACGCGTTAACAAAACTAATGGAGCGGACTGGTAAACTGTGCGTGGAAAATGGACTCAAAAATTGAAAAAACAAAAAAACAGAAAACAAAAGAATCAAAAAAAATTAGAAGAGAAGAAAATTTACCGCAAAAAGCTGAAGTTTTTCTCACTTGCTTCAACAAGACTTGTTGCTGTGTATGCTGCCTGGATCAGCACGCTATGGGATTGATTTGGTTATGCCTGACAAAGTTCTTTGATTAGGTTAGGGATCTCACGCCAATCTGTCAGCCAATCAAAAACTAAAACCAATGGCCTCATATGGCCACTTGATCACACGCGTGCTACAGTGCTAGAGGCAGTTTGCGTGTTTTTATTTCGAGTCCTCATTGGCTCCTTGTGGTATTTTCTTTGCTCTGATTGGCCACTGTCGTTGGTGCTGGTTTCATGACCCTCCCATTAAAAAGTGCTTTCTAAATTAACATTTGACATGTGATGTTTCATATTTTCAGATTCCCATTCAGCCGGAAGATTTCGTTGGTCCAAGAATGTTGAAAAAATACAAAGCTAAGCAGGTACTGTCAACTTCTGTCAGCTTCTCCAAGTGAAAGCAAAGCTGAGGAACCACGCTTTGTTTCTTTTGCGCTTTTTCCTTTCTTAGTGATTCTCTTTAATCCTTTGTTCCCGCTACACTTCCTCCTCTCCTCTCCTCTCCTCTCCTCTCCTCTCCTCTCCTCTCCTCTCCTCTCCTCTCCTCTCCTCTCCTCTCCTCTCCTCTCCTCTTGCAGTAATAATTTCGTTCTACTGTCGACGTGAGAAACTCAAACACAGACGTTTTAACCACAGATTGTACAACTACTTCTTGTGCCTTGTATAGCATTAATTTTTTTTTTCAACTTTCTCTTTCAGATTGCTGCTCGTATCCTTGAAGCGCATTCCTCTTTGAACAAAAGCTCGTTGGTTGAATCTAAAATGCTCTATGTAAGACAATGGCAGGCGTTGCCAGAATTTGGTCTCTCTCACTTTGTCGTTCGATTCCGCGGCTCAAAGAAAGAGGTAATTGTTTTTAATAAAAGTAAGCAACTTTACAGCTGAAAAGCATTTCAGTAATTTTTCGTTTTGACAAAGATAATATGCATTTGTCACGAAAGACGGAAGAGCAGTTTACTTCCTTGTTAAGAATATAACCTCGTTGTAAGCGAAGAAAAGCTCCACTCAGGTGACATTTTACCAATACTCTTCTATGGGGACCTGTAGTCTTGACTTTTGTTAGAACCTTGAACAGTTCTTATTTCACCAGTTGGGATATTTCTTTGTTTTCTTTTGATTTTCGTTTTGTATGCTTTGTTCTAAATTTGTGTTTTGTTTATTTTTGATGTCATTTTGTAAAGAAAATCCTTACAAAGGCAGTTGTGGCACCTTTCATTACAATTCAGTTTGATTTAATTTTTTTTCCTTTCAGGAAATCCTTGGAATCGCATTTAACAGAATAATGCGAATCGACCCGACAAGTCGTGAAGCATTAAAGACCTGGAGATACAGCGTGATGAAAGCTTGGAACGTAAACTGGGAGACCAGGGAAATGGTTGTCCAATGTGAAGGGGAGACCATTACGTTCGCGTGCACGAGTGCAGACATCAAAGTCATTCACGAATTTATTGGAGGGTACATCTTCATGTCAATGAGAAAAGATGTCAATCAGCCATCTAACGAAGAGCTGTTCTTCAAACTGACCGGGGGTTGGGTGTAGTCTGCTGCCTGTTCGAGTCATTTCTTTTTTATTGGCAGTTGAAGAAGCGATTATGTTTCTCTGGCTTCTCTTGTTACCTGTTTTTGATTGAATTTATGTGTCGCCAAGCAAAACCATCTATCTCCCTTCTTGTAGCAGTGCTTAAAGTGCGGGAAAACGCGGGTGACCAAGCTGTGATTGGTTTTAGTTTTGCATCTGATTGGTTTAGAGTGGCGCGAGTTTTCTGGACCAATCACAGAGCGAAGTGATGCAAAACTAATGGAATCTCGGATTACTTTCCATACTCAATTGAAAATTGTTATTCTCCATCAGTCTGAGGTAAACTAGCTTCGTGTTGTGTCATCTATGTCTGATAGTTCCGGGAGGAACTGATATTATTCTACCCGTGAACGGGTGGAGACACAAACAAGAACAGAGCATGACATCTGTCTATCAGACTTCTCAGAACGGAGCAGGTAATTTAGTGTTAACAACTGAGTTGAAAACGTAAATTAGCCACCGTAAAGGGTAAGAGAGCTGGCGTTTCGAGCGTTAGCCCTTCACTCAAAGGGCTAACGCTCGAAACGCCAACTTTTTTATCCTTTACGGGGGCTAATTTACGTTTTCAACTCAGTTGTTAACACTAAATTACCTGCTATACTCTTCCACCGACGCAGCACCACAGTTTCTTTAGAAACTTACCCCCTTTTCTCAGAACGGACTCTGATTGAACTGCAGTTGGAGATGCCACGCGTCCTTGAAGGTCACCACAATTTTACGACACTGTTGAATGTCAAGGTTAACTGCAACTATATTCCGTTAATACATAGCGTTTCTCTCAGTTTAGTTTATAAATGTGTTATTCGGTCTACAATAAGTGAAATCTCGAAGGTTGATATTAAGCAAACTGTTGTTTGTTGGAGAGCCTGTTTGATGAAATTTCAGAGGGTACATGCTGTAAATGTGATAAACTCTTCTCGTCTTCCATGTATGAGTTATCCTAAAGTATCCATACGGTAGCGTATATTAATGTCAGGGAAATTTATCGCCTTGTTATGGAGAAGTCACGTGTAACGCCAAATCACCATATATTTTTTACTTTGTTTGTTTGTTTTATTTTGAGTTAAGATTTATTTTCGACTTTTGCCTCATGTATTTTTTTACTCTGTTTTTTTGAGTTAAGATTTATTTTCGACTTTTGTCTCATATATTTTTTTACTCTGTTTTTTTGAGTTAATATTTATTTTTGACTTTTGCCTTCGTGGAAGAGATGATCAATACACAGTTAAATGAAGGGATCTGTTGAACATAACGGTCCTGAATTTGTAACCAATTTGTTACTGTTAATAAGTATTTTCCTCGTAATTTGCCACTGTCATGTCAAGACAGAAAGAAGAGACTAAACACTCACTCACAACAGGAAATCTTAGTACTTAGTTCAAACAATTATATCAATATCGTTTGGCTGCCTCGTACGAAATCAGTTAATGTAATCACTGATGTGACATCAATAAGTGAGCGACATGATACCATGTACAAATTAATTAGGACTTAAATAAAGGAATAGAAAGAAATAACACGAACAATGCGGGTATTTGATCATCATTGCGAGAAAGTTAGGTATTGAGGACCTAGTTCAGGTACTTGTCTTCAAGCAGCTGTTATTTTCACACAAATCCACAGGTCTGTCAAATTGATCGACAGTCAGCACTGCAAACGGCTGAGAAGGAAAATACTGATCGCATTCCATTAACTCTCACATTTAACCCTCACAACCACGCAGTTAAATCTATCATTCTTAAAATCTGTAAACTACTTCAAAACGATTCAGAGACTGGTGCTATCTTTTCGCAACCTCCACTAATTTCCTTCAAACGCGACAAAAACATTGGCAACTTTTTGGTCAGAAGTTCATTTCAAACCAATGACTAACCTGGAACTCTTAAATGCGCTCGCTCACGATGCAAAACTTGTTCTTTCATTCATAACGTAGAGAAAATGTCGGGGCCCAAGAGATCTATTAAGATTACTGATTACTTTACGTGCACTTCCGCCAATGTCATTTACTGCATAACCTGCACTTATTGCAAAAAGTTATGCATTGGTGAAACAGGAAAACGATTTGATGACCGATTCCGAGAACACCTTCGCGATATAGGGGGAAATGACATGGACGCATCCAAACCAGTCCCGAGACACAAAACTCCCTAATCATTCTAAGTAGCATATGGCAGTTTGCGGCCTTTCCCTACTTCTAGGCAGTTCGGAAAGCCACAAAACTCTAAAACAAAATTTATCTTTCAAATCGGCACTCATCATCCCCAATGGCTTTTCATTCAACTAATTTGGTCTTGTTTCTCGTCACCATATTCTGCACATAGACCCACACACAACCTACTATTCCTCCAATCGCTCTGATGAAGGGCTAACACTCGAAACGTCAGCTTTTAAACGTTTTACGGTGGTCCATTTACGTTATCAACCCAGTTGACAGTACTAAATTACCTTATTATTTTCACACACCAGCTCACGATGGAGAGAGTTTCATTTCTTTTTTTTCTCTTTTCCAAAGCGAAACATTCAGCTGATTGCGCGGATTCTAGTTGAAGCTGAATAACTCATAGCTTGCCCCCATATCGTTCCTTACAACAAACAGAGCTGTGAGGCGTGAAGCAGTAAGATTTTATTGAACACGTACCGGGTTATGGATCTGTGACTGAACGGTTTTCAAGGAGAAAAAAGGAACCTTATTGGACAAGTTTCCACCGCGCAGTCCGAAGTCGGAGGAGATCCTCTGAAAACAAACGGAAGCGTTCCAAAACAGAATTCCGTTCAAAATTGTCTATGCCTAACACATCTGCCAGGGCCGTGCCGTCGATGTAGAAACGATTTTCCCAAAGCGGCCTAATTTATGTTTTGGAGACTGGTGCTTAAAGTTTGTTCTTACGTTTACTAGACAAGAACACTATTTGGCATTGCTTTTACTGTCCTTTTGATGAAAAAGAAACTGTCGTTTACGATGTGAAAAAAAAACCTCAACATCCCATGGGATGGGCTATACTAAGATTTTGTTACGTTAAGCAGTATTCAAGATCGTAAATCTCGACATTCTATAGTACTGAGTGTTTTCTTTGTTTTGCCATGGGAAGAAACAACGTAGTTTAAGGTCTCGGATCACAAAAATTCCCAGCTTTGAAAGTGAGCAATTGATGAAGGCGGCTGGTAACAAGCTTCATGGAGTATTGTGTCCCTTGATTTCCGATGAGGACAAAGTGTGAGAGGGCTTTTTCCAATTAGTACTAACTCTCACGTTCCAGTAGATACTTTAATTTGTTTGAGGTAAAGGCTTCTCTTTTTCTTCTTGTATGAATTTAAATGCTAATAACTTGTGAAGATCGATTCACGAGGTTTAAATATACCTAATTGCTACAGTCATTTGGCCTCAAACACACATCTTCTTGAAAACCGGGAATGCATCTGTAACTCAGAAATCACAACCTTTTTGGCCGTAAACCAGCCGTTTTCACCCATCATCTCCGTCTCACGTTTTCGCTTAATATTCCCCCGATTATGGTGACGTCCCTCTGGTAAAGGAACAACTTGTTTCCTTGCTGCAGTATTCTTCTTCTTGTCAAAAACCTTGGTCGTTTTTCTGCGGTATCTTGGGCTCTTTTTCATCCTATGGGCCAGCATCATGGCAAGATCTCGCAGTGTTTTGGACCCGATAAGCCATGGGACTGCCTCCATTTGTTACGAGCTTTGCAATCGTTAGAAGTTTCAAATTTCTGGAGATGGCATCGTACAATCCTTTAAATTTAGTTTTTCCCTGAGAGAATACCTCTGCACCCCCTCTAGATTCTTGGCTTCAGCACACATGATCATATCGTCATGACACCACAAAACCTCCATTATCATTTCCAGGTTAGAATCTTGAATGACTCCACATTCAAAAGTACTTCATTTACTATTGAATTTCTTTCAGTACTTTCAGTGTCTCTGCACATGTCTTGAGCAGTTCACAGAGTTGCTGACACTCTCCTGTAGAATGACACCTGGACAGTGCTTCACTGGCCCAAACTATCTTAGCATTCACAGCCTGGGTAGCTATGGCAACAGCATTTTTGTTAACAGAAGAGTCCACAGGATTAGATGGAACCCTGCTAGTCTCATGAGAATCTTGCTGTGTTGGCTGGACCACAGGCAGCCCACCTTCACAAAAAAATACAAATTACCTGCTTTAAATTGCATTATAACCACAATATATTTTAGCAGTTGATTTTCACAGGATGGGTTGTGAATTTGAACTACAGAGTTGTTTCAAAAGATGCAGAGAATATTAGAAATACAGCTGGATGTAAGTCAAGTTTTTTCATCTTGTTTCACAGAAAAACACAATGGGCCATTATGCTGTCATCTTTACCAAAACAAAGTTGATGAAAATAGCATCTCTCCTGAGGGCAAAAGATTTCCCTAAAGAAATTTGCTCTTGGGGGAAAAATGCAGGCCCCATGATAGGCCCACCTCATGACTAACTTTAACAGCACATATTTGCTCCATCTTCCCATCTAAAAGAGCTTGCGATGTTCTAAGCAGGGGTTTCAGTTACAAGAGATTCATTGGGTTGCTTTAACACTTTACCTTGATCACTGGGATCTGTAGGCTGTGCATCAACTTCTTGACAAGCTACACAATAATCTGATTGGTCACGGTACTTCAGAAGAACATTCTATGAACAGAAACACATTAGTAGTAGTTTGTAAAGTTCCAAATCAAAGGGAAATCTTCAAGGTTCGATTACAGCCATATGCTCTGCCATGTTCTTTGTTGAAGTTTGTTACGTCACGAACAAGCGGCCTGGTTGCACATTTTAAGCCAATTTTCAAAAGGTTATCTGGCAATGCATGCATACGGTCATTGCAGTAATTTTTTCCATACTATTTAATAATGATGGTAAGAATCACAATTTTTTGAGTGTATGTTTCTAGTTGAAAGGTTCACATGTGATTTATTGTAATTTTTGTAATTTAATGTAAATTTTGTTAATGTAACTTAAGTAAAACAAAACTAAGTTAGATGGACAAATTATGACATTTGACATGGATTTTACAGACCTACCCCACAAACATCACAAGTGGATCCCAACATTCGATATCCTTTTAACAAATATTGTCCCATCAGTGCACTGATTTTATCACTTCTTTCCCGAGTTCTGTTGATCCTTTCTTGAGTGTGTTTATCCATGGTCGGACGGGACATGATCTCCTTCTCACCCAAGGTCCTCGTGTACAAAACACTTCATGTAAAGCGCAGATATTAATGAACACAAGAATAAATGAGAGAGATCTGGGTTTTCAACATAATGCTTTCAGCCAATGAATGCCTAGAGCCGGTCTCCTTCTATGTTTTGGCGCGAGACTCATTCAAAATGGCGGACGAGATCTAACAGTGCGAAGTTCTTAGCAAAGAAGACGATATACATTTACCATTATGGCTAGTCCTTGGTCTAAGGGAAGTCCTTTTACTCCGCGCCACTCCCTAAATTATTCATTTCTTGGGGACTCGGCTACAACCCCGAGGTGAGTTGTGTAGATTGTAGACTGCTAAATCTCACATGGATTTTTTTCGTAGCTGTTTTCGGTTGTGTGCTCTTTGCATGGGCAAATCTTCACTCGATGCTTCGATTAAAACTCTGCGTTTGAAATAACAAGGTATCACCTGGTCAGAAACACAACAAATTTTTAGTACCTTGTACCCTAGCTGTGCAGCGACATTGAGGAAAACGTTTCAACACTTCATTAGTATAATAATATAATAATAAATCTTCCAGTAAATGCGGAAGAAATTGTACAGCTACATGTAGTAATGCTTAAAATGAGTTCATTGCTTTCGTCGAAATGCTGTTTGGGATATATTATAAGCGGAAGTAAATTGAATTCCCGTTTAAGTGTATATTAAGTAGTTAACTTACCATATAATTTTGTATTACCTGTTCCAGAAGCCAACAAAAAGTTCCATTGACTTCCCAATTATTGGAGGAAACTGATCAGCGCAGGGTAGAAACATTTGGTCCTCCTTTGCCAGTTCAGATCAGTGAGAAACTCACAAACCAAGAAAGTAAGTTTACAATCATGTTATAGGCCTATGATCAAACACATGATTTATCATAAAGAGAACCATATAACCCCATACTATTCGAAAACAAAGCAGTAGTTTCAAGGAAATCTATCATTTTTGCCATTGTTTTCTTCATCCAAGAACTGTATGCTGAGTGAAGTATGGGACTGTGCAGAAATCTTGTGGACTGATCTACTGATAGACAGACACCAATTTCACCTTAAGGACTGAAAGACAAAAGGGATGTAACCCCTTTGAACTGACTGTCAATAATTTTAAGTGATTGTTATAGTCAGTTAGGCCATACTTCAGACTCTTTTTTCAAACACTTATATGTATTGGAAACCCTTTATAATCCTAATTTCAGTTTCCACATTCTCTCTACTCCTCTTTCCACGTTTCCTTTGTTACTGACTAAGAGAATGTATTTAACAATCAAAGCCTTTAGGTTGATGATCACTTCTTATGATCGTAATGACTGAATGATCATGATCAGTAGTATTGTCAGAGAAATTTGGTGCTGGTCATTGTTGGGGTTTAAAGGGTTAAATTTAAGGTACCATATTCTTGGAATTGATGGAGGGGGACTATTTGAAGATAAACATAACTGAGTGGAAAATGCTAATTGCATTACTTATAATTCAGCTGGGTGTTCTTTGCAGGTAACCAGCACACAACTGTCAGGATTGATCAGTCAGGCTGGGCATGGCTTGTCTCTGGCAGAAAGTTATTTATTTGGCGTTTTATTCCAGCAGCTGGAACAAAGGTTTGGAAAAAATTATAGTTAAATAATTCTTTACCCTTTATAAGATACATAGCTTAGTGGTCCAATACTGTACTGATGGTTAGGCATGTTTGAAGCAGTATTTTTATATACCTTGCTCACTTAAATGCTTTAATGTGGAGCAGAATCTTTCAAAATCCAAAGTATTCATGTGGCAGAGTTAAATATTTTTAACTGGTTCTGTTACTGAAAAACAACTTTGCTGGTGACATATATCACATGAGAAAGTCTGGAGCATTTCTCATGAAATATGTGGTTGAAATGAATTTTTATTCTGCTAATACTGCCTGCCATTGACAATTTTATCTGAGATATTATGTTGGATATTATGATTGATAGGGAGTATTTTTCAAGGAATTGACATTGCCAGCCTCAGAGTTATATCATGTGGCAGACCTTATATGTGTTATAAGTCCCGCTGGAGATAGTAAATTGTCATCAGTGTCAGTGATGGCAGTTTCCCCTGAAGGACTCGTGCGATACTGGCCTAGTCTTACTCATGACAGTAACACAGTGGATGTTGACACAGATTTGATCGGATCAAAATGTCATTCACTCACAGCTTTTCAGGTAATGGTTAACGCCAAGTCTTTGATGTCTATTCTGTGAACAGGATTCTATTTTTAAGTATGTTTATTGTATTTTGGTTCATTTATTTACTGCTCAGCTTTCTTAAAGTTATACAGTTCTAGAAATGCAAATTCCCTTTGTTTTACCCTTCTAGCCCTATGGATGTATCCTACTGACCACCACAAATGAGTTATTACTGCTGACTGGTTTACAGGTAAGACACATGTAGTCATCTTTATTTTTAATGTACTGAGGGAGGGGGTAGCCTTTGGTTGGTAAAGAATTATGAATAGCCTCTTCTGGACAGCTGATCAATTTATCTGAACAGCATTACCCAGACAGGTGATTATCAGATAAAGTACATTTTCTTCCATGTAGATTCTGTTGTGTCTAAAAACATCTCTAAATTGTGGGATGGCTATTTTGAAAATAAGTGTTTCTGTATCACCAGCATTTTTTACAGGGTGATTGTGACAAGTTATGATCCTTGACCAATAAAAGTGCAAGCTTCTTTGTTTCACTTGAGAAAATGATGATATCTGCCATGAAGATATTAATAAATCTGTAGGTGTTTAGTCATATCATAAACAAGTTATTGGAGAATTATATACCATAGTGATGATATTTTTAAGTACAGTTACTAGAGGGAAGAGAATTTTAAAATTCACATGCTATTCATCACTGGTTTGTAATTCATACACTAACCAGTAATAATTAACTTCAAGGCAATTTCATAATTTTCCTGTAGAAGACTGTCAAGTGTCAGAACCTGAATGCCTCCAGTGGAGTTTTCACAGACTTGGGCCGTCGTATGACTTCTTTTATATTTGGTTCTCAGCCTGCTAGTCAAAGAGTGACAGTAAGTTTCGGAGAAAACTAATGAGTAACTATGTAATATCATTATTTGAACTTCTTATAAAGCTGTTACAAGTGAAATATTCTGAAAATTTAACAGGTAAAAGGATTACTCCAGTAGTTTAAGAATTTAATTTACCTGCCGTGCTTAAAATAACAGAGAACATTGAATTTTATCAGATTGTTGAATGAGCCTACATCTGATTTTCATTTTCAGTTTAAAGTTATTTTGTTCTTTTAAATCCCACAGAATTGGCAGAAAGTCCTTGCCAGTAGCAACCATACAACTGATAACTCCAGGTAGTTAATAGAAAATGACATTTTTAAAAAATTTACAGGCTGCAAGGGAATTTGATAAATAAATATGTTTCACTGGTTCTTTCCTAGTATACTGTTGACTATGATTTCATCGATAATAATATTAATGTTTTTTTCCAGGGAGCTTTACGTACTTAGTGAAAACCAGTTGTTTACATGGAATATTGTTCGAGTGAGACAGGGCAGTTTTAGTGAAAAGGTAAAAAGAAAAGAATTATGTATATCCATCTGATTGGTATATTGCTTTAAAATTACTTTTTAAACACTTTTTCACACCAGAGATTTTAATCTTTTTAACTAGCCATGTTTCACAGATAAAAACAACTGTTACTCAAAATTTTTCAATTAATTTCTGGTTTACCACTGACAGTGTTGTTATTATCTAGTCACTACTATTTTCATGAGCTTCTGGAAATTAGTGAAAACAAGTACTACTAGGGCACCTAACGATGACTGTTCTTGTTGGTTCACAGCTTGTTGCTCAGGTGCAACTGGAAAACATGTTCAAAGCTGCTGTTATGAACACTCCAGAGGTAAGCTTACCAACACAGGTTGCACTAAATTTCATAGTAATTTGTGAAATGATAGAATTAACCCTTTAACTCCCAGAGGTGATTGATGGATAACTTCTCTCTCTAATATCCTTACATTATCAAGCAAACAGGTAATGAGAATACTCAAACTCATCAGGTAGGAGTTATATTTCTTGATAAAACACCAAATTCTCATTACCAATTTCTAAGGAAATGTATAGCAGTTAAAGGGAAGAAATATCAATAAGATCTTGGGAGTTAAAGGGATGAGGCCACAGTCACTTTTCCATTTGTGTACAGAATTTTATGGTGGACTTACAAAATGTAGATGGGGTATACGTAGGTAACAGGCATTCACAAGTTCATCAAAGCTGCCTCTCATGAGGTTTGGTAGTAAAAGAAGATGGAGTATGTTGAGTAATCTAATGAGATTTCAAATCTTGAACAATCACCACATTGTTAAAATGCATTTGTCTTTTAGGGTTATGGGAAATCAGCTGATGATATCTTGGTCTGGTGTCTAGATGTAGTCCAAACAAGGTATGTTACTGCTTGTCACATGATGTTTTGAGTGATGGAAATTGTCCTTCAGACTTTTTCCTTTGCCCTCACTTATCTTTTGTAGCAGTTTTTTTCTCTTCTCATTTCAGCTCTGGGATCCTTGTTTTAGCAGCTGTTGCTGTTAGGAAACCACAAAGCTCGCAGCTGTTTTATTTTCTTGGTAAGATAAAGTATTGTACACAATTAGATGTTGGTCTTTTAGTGTATTATGTATGATTAACAGCAGCTTATCACAAGCTTGTTTAAAATAATTTTCCGTTAATGATTTTTTTTTATCAAAAGGTGGTGTGAAAACTACTCCAACCCCTGTTTCACTGATTAGCCTTACTGCCCTGCCATACAGTGTGCCATACATTGTAAGTTATCTCACTTATCATGCTGCTGTTCTCATTCTGTCTGATTATTTTGCTTCTTGTTACTTCCTGCTCTTGATCACTCCTTTAATTTACTGCAGTATGGCTGAATATCACACAAGACATCATGTATACAAGATTATCCTTTAAGTGTTTTCCTTATTATCAAGAGAAATGTTACCACTTGATGGCCAGAATTGCCGCAGACTTTGGGAAATAGATGGTTATTCTGTTGAATCATTTTTTAACCTTTACACTCTAACATCAGTATGCATATATCTCCATACTGTTCTCTATACATTCCTTTAACCCTTTAACACCCAAGATCTCATTGATGGTTCTCCTTACTGTCTGCCATTTAGTTCTTGTGATGTTAGTTTGGAGAATTTGGTGTTGGATCAACTAATAATCCCCTAATTAATATTTCTCATCATTCTCATCAGTTGTCTGCGTGATATTGTATTGATATTGTGAGGAGAAATTCTGTCTTGGTCACTTGTGGGAGTTAAAGGGTTAAGTGCTGGCAAGGAGAATTTGTTTAACAATCAAAAGGTTCTTCAGTTGATTATCATTTCCTTTATTCTCATGACCTTAATGTTTGATTCAGGGGTGATACTGAATGGAGAAATTTGATGCTAGTCACTCTCAGTGATAAAAGGGTGAAAGGATCAGTATACCAAATAGTTATTGTAGTAAATTGGTTTTGCATTACTTGCAGTTATGGCTATAATGACATCTTAAGTAGTTTGGATGAAATTTGATCAGTATTGAAAAGTCTTCAAAGTATAGATTTAGTTAAATAGCAGAGAGTCACTGAATTGATATCAAATAACGTGTTTTATGTTCAAATTCTACTTCAGGAGGCTCATGAGGACAAGCTACTGGATTTCAAATTGCTGCTCTCACAACAAAACTCATCTGCTTTTGTGTATAATTCAAACTCAATAATTTGTGTTTCAGGTATTGTACAGTCACAGTCATTGCAACTAGGTACTGAATTTTTAGAAAAATGCTTCTATTGCAAGTTTGCATAGCATTCATGACAATACAAAGCATCTGTATTGAATGTTATGTTTATGTTTTTTTTCCTTCTCCTCTTACTAACTGTCCCATTTCTATCAACAATCCTTTTGAAAAACTGTTACCAGAGCAGGCTGTCTTTTTATGTTTGTGTTTTTATTTCTCTGCAGTCTCAGAAGCAAATGAGGTATTAAACAAAGTTGATCTCCAGTCTCCAGCTGACAATATCTTGGGTGCAGGTAAAAAAGGCTTCCTATCTCCTCTAAGGCAACTGAAAGATTAACTTGTGTGGTATTACAGTGATTTGTGATCTCAGCACAGAGTGATTTGTTAATCATAAAATTAATTTCTCAGTTTTTTCCAGTGCTAAAAGAAATTGATGTTAATTGATTAGCAATAACAAAGTTTTATCCATGGATTTAGGTCAGAACATCAGAATATGCTATTAATAAAAATGTAGACCATATTTAATATTGATCTGCTATGTTATGAGATTCCAGTGAATATCGACTTTTAACAGCACTGTTCCCTTTGTGATGCTCCTTGGCTTTGTTATCTTTGCAGGTTTATTTCAAGGAAAACCATTATTTTTTTCTTCAAAGTATGGTGTCATTACTGTAGCTATAATGGAGGCTATATTAAGGTGGGTTTGATAATTATAAACCTAACATTCCACCACACTTCATGGTAATTTATTTCTATTTTACTAGGTTTAATTTAAGAAAAAAAATTCAAGGAGTTATATATCATTAGGTGTTATTGACATATTTATCATAAGTGGACATATTTTACTCTTATGGGAACCTAAAAAGAGAAAACACTTGGGTTTTGATCTCTTTTGAATTAGAGTGTCTGTAGCTATCAACAGAAATGTCTGCCAACTAGCAAGTGTTATTAACCCTTTAACTCCCAAGATCTGATTATAAATTCTCCCTTCTGACTGCTACACATTTCCTTGCAAATTAATTGCAAGAATTTGGAGTAAGATCTAGATAAGAACTTCTACCTCAGAAGTTTTAGTTTTCTCATCACCTGCTTGCTGGATAATGTATTGAATATCGTAGGGAGAAGTTACATGTTAATCACTTCCAGGAGTTAAAGGGTTAAAGAGTTTAAATGGAATATCATGCATGGTCTAATGAAGTGGGTGGCAAGAGGAAGGGCATGTGTACAAGATGATCCTCCAGAGGAGCTTATTGACTGTATTCACATGATGTTACAACCGCATGATCAGTCAACAACTGTTTAAATTGTTTGAGGGGAGATATCAACTTTAACAACAATAACAATTGGTACTGTGCACATTATTTTCAATACATTATATTTTCAGTGAGCAGATGGATTCTTCAAACATTCATTCATTAGAGGTTGGTGTTATTATTTCAAACAAAAAAAATAGTGTTAAATATTATTTATTTGTAAAATTGTATTTATAGAATTGGTTGTAACTTTTTCTGTTGGCTTCCTTGCAGGTTACCCAGAAAACTGGTAACCTTTCACTTTCTGATGCATCCTTTCGAGATGGTGACAATCACCTCCAAAGACTAAAATCAGCTTTCCTGCTGTTCTGCCAAGGACATATTGTAAGTGTCATCATTAATGGATGATTTTTCTGCCAAAAAACAGGACATAAGATATCAGCTATGAGAATACAACTCCTAAAAAATCATTTTGAATTTTAACAATTGTGTTAATTTTGATAACAGATTTCTTTATTTAGGATTACCTTACAACCAGAAATATTGTTGGTTCCTTTAGGGTTAGTTATTTCAGTTACTGAACAATATTTCTGTTTCAAAAATATTAGGCTGAGGCTCAGAGTATTTGTAGGATCTTGGATGGTGAAGAATTGGATAATGGTGTGGTAGCTCTTAGTGAGGAGATCATTGATGATTTCCCAGTCTCAGATCCTCGCTGGGCTGAATCTATTCCAGCAGGTTTGTGGCTCTGAAGTTGTCATACTGGGAACACTCTAATGACTCCCCTGTTTATCAAGCCTCCCTCTCTAACAGCCTTTCTAATAGCAATTAGGCCCCCCTCCCACCAATTGACAAGAACTTCAAGGATTCAGAATTCCAACCTATAACAACACAAGTTTCATGGTTTGATGCAATGTAGTTTTTATGGTCCAAAAGGTACTGTAAGTTGATCTGATACAGGTCAGGCTTTCAGTAGCATTTGCCATAAGGAGCTGCCAACAGTGAAATAGATAACTGTGCTTGGAAAAGGGGCCTTAAGGTGAATCCCAAACACAGGATGCTAAACAGACGGCAGTTAATGTTCTGATGATATACATGAAAGAATTACTTGCATTTGACCGGCTGAAAAAAAGTACATTTTTCATGTAACACAGGTGCAAAATTGTAACATGAGTGTAAATTACAAATAGTGCATGTGCTCTGTCAAAATTTTGTCTGTCTTGACTTTCTTTGATGCTTTTTTCGTGTAAATTATTAATAAGTAGCAACATGATTTTGAGTGCAATGTGGTGTAAATAAGCACTCGTAATTTCTTCAAAGACTACAAAGTGCACTTGCAATTTTGTTGTCTTTGAAAAAGTTACTCATGTTTATTAACAACAAATTGCACTGGAAATCATATTGTTACCTACACTTGTAGGCAGCTGTAGACTGTCAATAACTAGCTTTTATTGAAAACCCTACTGATGTAAAGTCCCATTTTTTCCTCACTAGGTGGACTATCTGCTTCCACTTCACTAATCATTCTTCATCAGTTGGAAGACAAGTTAAAAGCTCATGTCTTCATGGTTGACTTTCTGAAGGGTGTTGGCCTGTGGGAAAAGGTTTGATAATAATCACCATTGCAATTGTAAAATAAAAATTGTGTGGGAAAACTTATTCAAAGTTAAATTTTCTTCACAGCTTGGAGTCTTTGAGTCAAAGGAAGGACAATTACTGACATGTCATCTCATCTGTGAACATGGCGAGAAGCTCAAAGCTGCTATAGCCTTGTGCAAGGTTGATAAAAAGTAAGGGTGTCTTTGCAGAATTGAATAATGTAAAACTAAGTAAAGGCTTAAATATTGGAGGATGCTATTTCAGCTGTTGTGCTTATTAATCAGACAATTTTATTAATAGATTCCATATTGCTTATATGATTCAGCGTGTTATAAAAACTGTCTTTTATAATCAGGTATCAAGGGGTAGTGGATGGGACTATTGGACTGGTGATGAAGAAACGGCGATTGAGATCACAAATTGAAGGTCTCACTGAACAAGATGTGTTCTTTAGAGAGGTGTGTTTTGCAGTAAAGTCATTTAACATACAATTCTGCAGATTGCTAACTGCAACAACTTGCTGTTTATGAAGTACTTTTTCTTTTGAAATTCATCTTTTCAAGGTATTTTTATAAAATTGTTGTCAAAATCAGGTAAAGATTGATTGCTGCTGTAACTCTTGTAACACCACCCTTGGAATTAGTCAGTCCTCTCTGTGCATCCATACACATAAGGCCTTGGCCAGAGAACGCATATATTGATTTCTGTAGGTTGCTATTTAGTCCAGCTGCCTCCATGTCCAGCCCTCCATATCCTACATTTCCCTTTCCCTTAACTCTTTTGCCCCCAGAGGTGATTAACATGTAACTTCTCCCTATCACATCTATACATTATCCAACAAACAGATAATGAGAATACTCAAACTTATCAAGGATAATTTATTTCCATGATCTATCCCCAAATTCCTGTCACTAATTTCCAAGGAAATGCATAGAAGTTAGAGGAGAGAATTCACTATCAGATCTTGGGAGTGAAAGGGTTAAGTGTCCTTGGAGTAGCTTCTTTTTCTTTGGCTGTGAGGAGTCCATCAGAGGCAACTCTGGGCTGGGCTGGACTGATGGTGGTATTCAGAGCAATTGGCCAAACCCTTGGAATGAAATTGTGGTTTTAAATCCATTTGCACAGGCAGTTTCCTGAATCCTGATTTCAAGCATCAACAGTTGAGCTTTAAGCTTTTATCTTGTGGAATGAGAACAATTGTGATTGTTTTTCAGCTCTTTCCTTTGTCTGACAGGTGTCAAGGATCTCTGATATCTTCATGTGTCTCCTGGAATATGAAGAACAGCTAATTTTAAAGCAGAAGTCATCTTCTTCTCAGCCACAAACTATTGCAGCAGTAAATACAGTATTAAAGGTGAGGATCTCAGATTGTAAAAAATATTTAACCCTTAAACTCCTTACAATACTGATAAAAAAGCAAGCTGACATTTGGTCAGAAAAAAGAGAAATATCAATTAGGGGATTATTAGTTGATCCAATTTCAAATTCTCAGAACTATAAGCATTATAATAGATCTAGGTAGTACAAGGGTTCAATTATGCATTTTAAAACCTTGTGCATGACTCAGTGATTAAGGACTTACGATTTATTTTTGTTTTTTTGATAGTTCTTCCTCCCCATTGCTGTATGTTAAAGATCTGACCATTAACCTGTGTTTTTTCCATGTTTGTCAAGTGTTTTGGTTTCATATGCTATCCATAAAATGTTAATGTAGAAGATAGTGCATGTCAAGATGATGAGCATGTTGCTCTGATGAAGGGCTAATGCTTGAAATGTCAGCTTTCAAACTCTTTACGGTGGCCAATTTACCTTATCAACTCAGTTGATAGGGTAAATTTAAGGTAATAAGGTAATTTCTAAATTACCCTGTTATACTCTCCCACTGACACAGCACCACAGTTTCTTTAGAAACTTACCCCTTTTATTCATGTCAAGATGCTTCATACTTGAATGAATAAATTGAAATCTGTCCTATTTACAGGAAATGCTGTTTGAAGCATGGCAATACAGGCAGGATCAGTTTGAAACTTATCAACCAAGCAATCCATTAACAGACATGAACTTTGAACATGTGCCTTGGACTGGTAAGTTAATCCTTTCACTTCTTGAATTGATCAACATGTCACTTCTCCCTATAATATCCATACATTATCCAGCAAACAGGTAATGAGAATATTCAAACTTATCTAACTTAAAAGGTAATGTGTAGCACCTAGAGAGGAGAATTAACAATCAGATCTTAGGAGGTAAGGGTAGTGACTTTTACAAGTATTAATTAATTGAGGTAATGAATTGATGTCTGAAAAAAGTCCAAGAAAAGATTTATTCAGTGAAATATGAGATTGAATGTAATTGTTTTAATTATTTGTTGTTTTTATATGTAATTTAAACTTTTTTAGCAACAGCCGGACCAGATGGAATACGAGCAGTGCTCTTAAAACAGGTGAGTCTACGATTTTAAAATGATAATTTTTTGTTTTGTCTTCTTTTCTTATTAATTTGTGTTATAAATTGTAATAAAAAAAATTTTGAAAAATCTGTGCTACAGATCAAATTAACAGCTAAACAGGGAATGGGAGAGTTTGCTGATCAACAGGTTGGTACAAATTATATGAACCTTGTTATAGACTTTTGCAGATGTGAATTTTTAATTTCTTATATATCTTAGCATTATCTTGTACGTTAATTGTGCAAGTATTTTGTTAATGACTGTCTTAATCCTGGGGAGGAAGAACAGTTCAGTTATTTTTGTAAGGGTCAATCCAGTGGTTTACAGTACTAAAATCGAGTTTGTTGTGTTTTATTGTCAGACAAAATCACTTCTCGTTCAACATATGGTAGATTTAGCTGATATTTTGCTGGATGGCTATGTCAAACAGCTGCAGTATTTACGGTAAATCTTTTTGTAGCAAATATGTTAAAAATGCCCCTATCATTTTTTTGTTCTCCATAACAAATGATCATATCCTCATAATCTGTTTGTTTGTTTGTTTTTGTATTGTTGTGTTTGTTACAATGTAGGTATTTGTAATTGAATTTCAGAAACTGTCCAGGAGTGAAGAGTCGTTTTGATGAAGTCAATCAGGAGTTTGAACAAGACAGAAGGATTGTTATTTTACCCTTAGGTAATGTTTTGATGCTGCTCTCCTGGCTTTCTGCTCGTGATGATGATGATGATGATGATGATAATGATAATAATGATAATAGTAATGATGGTAATAATAATAGTAATAAATAAAAGTAATTATAATAACGATAATAACAACAACAACTATGATGATTTTTATAATAATTTTTGTGATAAGGATACTAACAGTCTTGTTGCTGTGCTCAGTTCATCAAGGTCAGAGGTCACACGCAGCGTCCCTTGCAGAGAAGTATCACGACTTTGGGGTTTTAATTGAACTGTGTGAAACATCTGGTGAACAAGGGACTCTGCAAAAGTACATGACACAGTTTACTGATCAGGTAGGTATGTCAATCAAACCTCCCTCAGAGAACGTAAATGACAGCTTAAATTCCAAGTGCGTTTTTTGCTGCAAACGCTGGAGTGAAAGCTGAACATTTTCAAGGCTGAAGAATCCAAAGGCACTGACCTATATGAAGAAATTCAAGTCTTTATTGACTTACGGATTCTCATGTTTGTTTTTGCTTTCAGGGATTTTCAGATTACGTATTTAAGTGGTATATGGATAAAGGTATGGTAATAATGTATTTTAATGTGGCAGAGGATGTGATTTCGTAGATTAACTTTCACTCATCTTAAACCGGAAAATGTTTTCCTGCAAAACACAAAAAAACCATTCCAAAATAAAACGCCTACAAAAAATTGATCGCAAACGGTGGTTCAAAGACTAACTTCTTCTTCCAGGAGAGCGTCAAAAGTTGATGACGATACATGTACCTGAACAACAGAACGACGATTTATCGCGATTCCTTTCGTCCCATCACCATTTGTCGTGGCTCCATGACATTCACTTGAAGTCCTTCTATCAGGTGAGTTCCACATCACAATGTTAAAAGAATCAAACGTAATAAAAATGCTTTTAAAGGAAACCTATAGAGTCTTGGACAGTTGTGTCTGCGAGCTTGAGATTTCACAGTAGACGCACGCGAAACTGCGATTTTTTTTTGCCGGGCAAAATGCAGTAGCCTTCAATATTAAAAGGGCGTAGTTTTGTACCCAGTAGAATTTCGTCTGCTCTGCGCACCTGAAAGTGACGTAACCTATACGGGATATTTGGTTTGATCCTGACTAAAACGAGATTCTTGTTTGTCAGGCACATAGAACTTTGAAGGCTTTGGCGAGTGAGGAGGCGTGTCATTTGGGGAAGAAAAAGGTGTATATTGAGTTTTTTGAGTGACTTTATTCATTCACGTTTGTACAAGTTAACATACTTTTGGTAACCTCTAACATGAAGAAAATCTATCTTTTTCGCGTGACAACAAAAATTGCATACTTTGTTTTGTTTCTATTATTTGTTTTGTCCAATGAGCATTTTGTTATACACTTTAAATTCAGCTTTGTACCTTGTATAAATCAGAACTGAAGATGACAGAAGAACTGTCGAAACACGTTTTTAAAAATGTCGTACATTTTCTTAAATTTCTCTCTTCTTTTTACAAAATGCGTTGTTGATGCATGTGGTTTTGCTTTTGCAGACACTGTTGAGTCTTAGTAAACTGGCTCTTTTAGCATCAGATGAAAACAATGACGCAGAGCTGGAAGGCAAGTGTCAGCCCACGATTGTATACGAACTTCATTTCTCTCTAGCCTGTGGAGAGCCTGGGCTCCCTCTCCTCAACCTCTCCTCGCCGTTTTTCTTGCCGCTTTCCTTTTCGCCCCTTCTACTATAGCCTGTTCACAGGCTAATTTCCCTCTCACCCAACACACTATATGACACACTTACCCCACCCTCTCACCCCACACACTATATGACACACTCACCCCTCCCTCTCACCCCACACACTATATGACACACTCACCCCACCCTCTCACCCCACACACTATATGACACACTCACCCCACCCTCTCACCCCACACACTATATGACACACTCACCCCACCTTCTCACCCCACACACTATATGACTTCCCAGATACGAGTTCAAAGGGCGTACTATGAATATGATTTTTAAAAATTACGCCATCGAGGTGCTGGATTGTATTTCTAGACAAATACTCAAGTTCTTGGTGTCCTCGTAAGATCCTTTTTTTTCTCTGGGGATTATCATGTCAAGGGAGAGCTTCTTTCCAGTTGAGTAATGTTCTTTGTTTGTTTGATTTTTTTCGATTTTGTGTTTTTTTTTTTTGTAGAAATAATCAACGAACATAAGATCATACTTCATCAAGAAACACTACCATCTGCAGTGCTACAGGCAAGATAGTTATTGCTAAGTCTCGTGTTTTACCTTATTTATGTGTCAGTGGTAGTTCTAAATAGTTGTGTCAGCGGTAGTTCTAAGTAGTCAGACAATTTGTTTCGTTTTCTAATAAAAATCTTGTTCACCTTTCGTCGGCTATTTTTTCTTTTTAATATTAATAGGTTGTTTTGATAACATGCAAGGTTTAGTCAGTAACATGGAAAACTGCCATCAAGCGTACAGATGTTCGAAATTCTGTGATTTTGCAGTTTTCTTGTTTTGATTGTCATGAATTCTATTATTGTTCTTCTCGTAGCAAGCTGGTTTGGACGTAGATTCCATGGCTCCCTTGTCACCATCAGAACTGATCGAGGTAAAGAAACTATTTTTATAAATTCACAAAATTTTTGTTAGTTATTTATTTATGCTCGGAAATATTAAACTAACGATGTTTTACACAAGTGCGCAAAATTTTAAGTAGTTATTCAGGACTCAGGCCGAACAAAATATTGATCAAGTTTGCTTATTTTTAGGTATGACTTTTAAATCTTTATCTTTATTTGCAGCTCCATGTTGGAGATAAAAATACCGGAGCTAATGAGTACGATTTCAAAAATGCTCTGGATATCCTGCATCTTGCCGTACAGGTAATCTTTTTGAATACACTATTTTCGACACTCATCCAGACAATTGTTTCACTATTAGCTTTAGAATTGTCAGAAGTAAATGAATTATAGATCATCCTTTATCCTCAATTAGGCAAAACTTTTGAAAAATGTTAAAAATTTCAACATAAATTTTTGTGTTATAATCTTTCAACAGACTGGCGCTTATGATCAAGAGCAAGCCACAACCATGAAACTTTACATTTGGCGCAAAGCTCTACTGAGAGACGAGTAAGGTGTTATTTTTCTTTGAAGTCAGTTGTCCTGCGATCAGAAACCACTAAAAAGACTTGTTATTTTTTTATGTGATCAGCTGGCCTTCGCTTCCTACGAAAGATCCTCTTATGACTGTTAGGAATACTATTTTCTTCAGAACTGTCGAACTGGCCTACAATCAAGGTGATGTTGCGCATTTTCATGAAGAGTTTTTTTTCTTCATTCATTTGTTTATTGATTATTGAGAAGTGTGTTTAGTAATGTACATGCCAAGGAGGTGTGGTTACCTGGACTGGCTGGGCTCCGGTTCGAAAGGTCTGGGTTCGAGGTCTGGCCTGGTTATTGTGTTCTTGTTCATTGTTGTTGATGTGATTATTGTCTTTGCTGTCTAGGTGTTGAACTCCAAGAGTTTATTCCTTCCCTGGAATCGCTGATTGATGGAGAAGAATTGAAAAACACCGGTTTGTCTGAAAACGCGACATTTCATTTTCTCCTCAAATCTGGATACGAACGAATGGAAAGGGCTGCTGTTTTGTCATTATAAATGAACAACTGTTGTTACTTGTAGCAGACGGAAGAGCAGCCATTTAGCTTAACCCAAAGTACTTTAGTTTATTTCCTAATAATGCCTTCCGACTATGTTGAAAAACTTAAGCGCAGTAATCCCGAGAGTGACTCAGGCGAATCACCTCAATTGTCCTCACGATATCATGCATTTTCAAGTCGAAAAGTGATAAGAAGAAAGATATCTGCCAAGTGACTTTTGGATCTTAGGAGAAAAAAGGTTTATAACTGCAAAATAAATGTAGATAGCTTTTGTTAAGCTTCAAAGAGTAGTTAACGGTGGTAATGCCTGTTTTCTTCTATCTAGTTTACCAGATCTGTTCTATATCCCTTCCCCCTCCCCACCAAAAATCATTTATGACAACTTTTACAAGTAAGCTCTACAGCTGCATATTAAAGCGCGTAATGTTACGTCTTAACAGTGTAGTGAAAGTGTTTTTGTGAGCGTAACATTCAGTATTCGCACCGTACAAACGCTCGCGCTTGTTGACAGCCGATCCGAACAGTGAATGATTTTTCTATTCTTAATCGATAGCCGAACTTCACGAACTTTGGCGCTATTGTCGGCTGAACCAAACAATAAACTGCGTACGGAACTTACTTAACCTTCCCGCTATTGTGACCCGAAGTAAACAATTACTTGAAACAATTACTTGTTCTCGCAACTCATTCAATTTTCGGCTTTAGTTAGCCGCCTATGTCACACAAACCAAAATTAGTACTGTTTACGCGACTCATCCAACATTTAAACTTACCAAACGTTCCTGCTATTGTCACCCAAGCCAAACAATTACTTATTTGCGCGACTTAATCAACATTCGAGTTCTGCAAAACTTACCGCTTTCGTTACCCAAACCAAACAATGAACTGGCTACGCTACTAATTCAACATTCGCATTTTACTAACTTTCGTGAGCCAAATAGGAAACGACCTATGCGACATTTATTAACCTTAAAACTTAATAGCTTATTTTCCCGCCATTTACGGCCGAACCAAACAGTGAACTGTACAACTCAATCAACATTTACGTCAAGAAATGACCCTCACAGTTGAGGTGTAATGATTCAAGTGACTTCCGGAAAGGAGTTTGGAAAAAATTCGTATTTCTAAGGGATTCAAACCCATTCCTCCCGGGGTGCGACTACCAACTGAGCTACGAAGCCAAATGTTGTCAGTGAGTTGTTCGTTTCCGTAGAGGAATCTGATCAATACCTTAGATAAATAAATCAACCAACATTCTTTCTTGACAAACAGTTCCGCTTTTGTCGGTCTCGCCATATAGTGAGGTCTTTGCGCGAGATGTTCAACCTTTGTCTTAACAAACTTTCCCGTTATTAAGCGCACCGCAAGTAATCGGTCGCCTTTTGATTTCCTCGACCACTAAAGAGCGGTGTGAATGTCCTTTCATTTCAAATATCTGTTATTACCGCTTTTGACATGTGACAATGTATACGATTTGTTTGTTTGTCGCACCACTTTGTTGTTTTGTAACAATGACATCAGAGCATAAATAGGGCCAGCAGTTGCTGTGGATCTTTAGTCAGTGCTTGATGCTATTACTGTAACATGTCTAACATCTCTGTCAGCTCAGCTTTTATGGAGAGCCGTGTTTTTACTTCAGCAGTTTCTCTCGAGAAGCCTGCGCATTCAAGAAAATCACGAAAACCTTTAACCAGTCCTCCAATCCATGTGTCGTCTTTAGTGCCAGTATCCTCGCGGCCAATGACTGATTTCTCCATCAGCAGAATCCTGGGTCTGGAAAGCAACGAAACAGAACAGAAGACAACATCTACAGGTAGGTTCATTTTGTTTTCATCACTTAAGTTAATAAAACACGCGACAGAACAATTGAACAATCTTGGACAGCACCCCTAAGAAAAATTTCCACAAAGATTGATAAATATCAACGTAGTTTGAATTTAGCTGCATAGGTAGCACGGCAAAGCTCGTTCCAAAAATCTTGCGATAATCCTTTTTTCTCTTCATCCACAACATTTATTAATTTATTAATTTCTGAAGGATTTACGTTTTTGCAAGTTGATTATGAAGTATTGAGGTGAGGAATGGTGCATACACCTGTCGTTCATTTGGCGAGAAAAACGCTTTCAGCTTAGGATATTCAATAACGAAGCTCTTCATGATAAAGGGGGAGAGTCGTCCCTACAGAATCGAAATTCGAAAGATCTCTTGATCTTACTGAGTGACTGATAAAATGTCCTCACATTTACAGGGGTTATTTAAAAAATTGCGAGCTCATCAAATTGAACGTTTCCATTCTTTCAACAGCTTTGACTGTGTACAACCGCAACTCCAGTCAATCGTTGAGACCTGAACGCAACTGTGGCAACAATAGCCCACAATCATCTTCTTCCGATTATGCCAACTCCACCAGCGATTGTGACAGCGAACCCGATCGATTCCCGACGTATTCTGAAAAGAGGGCGAAAAAGAAACGGCAGCGTACGACTTTCTCGATGTTTGAAGTATGGGAACTGGAACGAGCTTACATGAAGCGGCCATATTTGATGCCGGAGGATGAAGAAGACCTGGAAAAGAGGCTTGGGATCACAGCCAGGAGTCTGAGGGTGAGTTACAAGAAGAAATTTTAATTTACACCGATTTAAAGAGATGCGCACACTCAGATTGGTCCAGGATTGCGTCATATCTCGCTATGATCGCGCAAATAGTTTCAATTACAACAGGGGCGCTAAATTTAAAAATGGCTGCCTTGCGTTTTATCGGTGTTACCGAAGAAGTGATGAACGTGAAAAAGAAAACTGAATTCCGAAGAGCGCAAAAGCTGCTATTATGTTTGGAGTGACACTTTTTTAACAGAAGGATAAGAAGTTTTTGTTGATTTAATTGAATGAACCCATCAGATTCTAATGGAAGCTGGCTCTATACCTCGATACGAGTAATCAAAACAATTAAAACAGAATTTTTTAACATCAAAACGAATATTTACAACAGAATTCGAAAGCACCTTGGTAATTGTACTAAAACAATTATTCCTCGAAGGCTCGGTGAATATTGTTGAATATGTTGTGGATTAGTCGAAAAATATTCACTTCGCCTTCAGCGAATAATTTGTTAAATGATTTTAAAGCCTGGTAATTAACCTTTCCTTTTTCCTTTTTCGTTTCAGTATTGGTTTCAAAACCGACGAGCCAAGTCACGAAGAGACGGGAAAATGATAGCGTCAGACTTTCAGAAAAACCCGTCAAACCAGTTTGAAAAGCCACCACAGACCTTGACCCAGTCCCCTTTAAATTGCTGGAGGCAGGCTGACTGTCTTTCTTATCCAGGGACGGGAAACTTCATAGGGAAACTGAATGCATACAGCCGACCAATCAGAACTGGCAATGGACAGCCGTCAGTCAGGACAGACCATTTGTCTAAGCGTTCGTCGTTTTTCGTGCCCATGTTCCACCCAGACCAGTTCCGAAGAAGACATGTTGCACTAATTAGACCAGCGGACAACCGTGGTTCCAAAAGATACCAGCCGTATTGAGGTCTATTTATTGGTGTTAATATTTCCTTAAAGTTGAATTTTTAAAAAATTGCTGTTACGGTGTAGTGTGAGACAAATCCCGTGCAAGATTTCGGTTGTATTTCCTACAATTAATCATTGAGGTGTAGAATATCATATAAGATTGTTAACTTGTAAATAAAAAAGTTGAATTTATAACAGTTGCCTTTAATTTTCTTGTCTTAATAATTGTCTTTAAAATGTAGATATTTTATAAACAAAAGTTTAAGAAAAAAATAAACTCTTAATCACAGCAAAAGACATTCATCCAATTAGAACAATCTCCTAACAATCTCCGTCCTGTCGCTTAGCAGTCCTGTCAGCGGTTAAACTCGTGAGACTTCCGTAGTCAACTCACTTCTGAGTGACGGGTCGAATAAAGCAACTGTAGAGAAGATCAATAAGAGCATAGCCTGGGACTCGATTCCCCCTAACTCGCTATTCTAAGATTTAACATGTGCTTAACAGGGGAATCAATATGTGACGACAGCAATTTACAGCTATAAGTTTAAATTATTTTACCATGCAGACAAACTGACGCACAGTTCTACATCAACTTTGTTCTGCTATTTTTTGGCAATGAATTGGGCGTCCTGTTTGAATCCTGAATTAACTCAAAGACAAAGGCGCCGTTGACAAAGTATTTTATTTTTCCAAGTCAATTGAAATTCTGCCCGGAAAAATGCAAATTTGTTCCTTTTGCAACAGTATAGTGCAAAGTCTTGGTGCATAATTGCGTTTATTGTATATACCTTATTCTGATCTGAGGGTAACTTAGTAGTAAGCAATTAAATTTGTGCGAGTTACTCAGTGATAAATTCAAAATGGTGATTATTGTTGAATCTAGCCATATTTTCAGTTTTAGTTTCAGTTATTAAAATGCATACAAACCAGTTTCACCTTGAACTGGACGCTTAGTTCATATTTATCTTCAAGATGGGCTTGTTAAGGCTGAAAACCTTCTTCTTGGGTCTGTTCATCCTTTCGGAAAACTTTACAAGCTGTGCGAGAGGAAAACTGTTGCAGAAATTACTTGTTTTTAGTGTGGCTTTATTTTTTGTTCTCGCCCACATCTTTGTTAGACTCTGAATTAACATTATTAATATTCTAGTTTGGTATGAAGCGACCAAACTGTTTTATTATTGGTCGACTTCACTGAAGCAATTTGTTATTTATCGCGAGAGACAACAAGAGATTAACTCAAAGTACAGATGTCTGTTTGAGTTCTACTGACTGGAGCCAGCTTTGGATGGAAACATGGAAAAAATATTTGAAACAAATATCATTCTTTGAAAATTGCCAGGTAAACGAGTTCTGTTTTATGTGCGCGCGATTTTTTCGCGTTAAAATATAAACTGAGGTAGACGGGCCGAATCATGGGTCGAAGACACCAAACTTTGCCTTCCTCGCATGATTTGACTAAAAATACGGAAAATTTGAACACCAGGTGAAAATAAATGAATCATGTTACCATGTGGAACGAGATTTAAGGGAACAAAATTTCTAGGCCAAAAAAGTTTACTACCTATCTTAAGCACTGGAAAATTGAGTCGCACGACATAACTAATTAACAATTTATTTGAAATAAGCAATAGTGCGCTCGTTTTTCTTTTTTCCTCTTTTTTTTTTATTTAATTTTACTGTCTAGTATCAGGGATTAGATCGACCCGGCGTGATTGAAATTTCAAACAAAGGTCTTGAATTGAGTTTCAGGCTTGTCTTCCCAAGGGAACCGAACCGCCCGTGTTTGTCTCAATCTTTTTCGCGTGTTCGATAAATTATCGAAAGAATGATTCACGGTCAACTCATGCAACTAAAACTATGATGAGAAATGAAATAATTTGAGTTAAAATTTCAGCGATGTATGATAATCTGTTATGAAATTCTAACATCAGAGACAAACAGCTTGAAAAATTTCAAAGATCTTGATATTTTTCGTTTGCCAGAGTTATTAAACACAGTCTACTTATTATTTAAGAAAGTCCAGTCAATCAAAGCAGAAAAAGAATACGATTTATGTTTTATAAACACAAGGAAACCCAGTCAAACTGGGGTTGGTTCTATTAAAAGAATCATTTTTGTGAGTGATAATACCGATGGTTTTGTTGAACGTGGGGCATAGTGCAGATTAGCTCGTGATTGGTTATACAGGAACAGTTGTTCTCCACATGGGCACTCGTTAACTCATTAGCAGTTGGATGAAATGAGTTTGGATTCATATTATCATCAAACATCGGTCGTGATCAGTTATACAAAAGGGTTTTTTCATGTGGTTTGCAAAGGTTGAGTTTTATTTACCTCAGTGACGCCTTCGATATTTCCATATTCATCACCAAATATTTTTATTAATACAAAGAAACAAAGAGATGAATTACAAACTCAATTTTAAAATGAAAACAGTGACAAAAAGTGATTGAGCTGATAACGTGAGATATTTTTCTGACCTCGTAATTTGATTTACGTCCACTGTTAAACACCAGTACATATATCACCGCAAATGGTCTTTTTTGTTTTCTGTACACGCAAATGTTCGCCCGCGTTCAAAATGCTGATATTTTTAAAGTTTCCATCTTATTATAATTAATTTCTGATCCGTTCTGTGTGAACTTGGCTAATTTTCTTACTCAGTTAAGAAGAGGGGACTGAGATAAATTTCGGGGCAATTATTTCCTCCTACGAACTCCTCATCTTAAATTGTCGC